CGTTGTTACATTAAAGGCCGCGATAGCCATATTTTTTATGAGGACGCGGAGGTCGCGGCCAAAACCGCGGCGGGATGCTCCCTTCGGTGCCCCTGCCCTCGCGGCCTCTCTTCTGATATTTATTGTCTCGCTGTGGGTGTCATAGTCGAATTTACGTCCGTCGTCGATACTCGAATGAGACTGCGGCGGCTTCCGACGACTGCATGTTGTGAGGTATAGCAGAGCCAGTAGCTGAGGGTTTATCAGCTTCATCTCTTGATTATGATTTAATGTCAACAAAGCGTGCCCGTGTTGCGATGTCGTAGGACTCCTCTCTCTACGTTTACGTGAAAATAGGCTTCGCGCAGCCAAACGACGAGAGGGCACCATAATAATAGTATCATCTTGAGTGAGAAGGAGACACACCGGCTAGACGGTATGTATTTGGTATTCTGTATGAACTCACCTATATTTGCTATGTGTGTATATAGTGATGTAACGCTCTGTATGTTTTTAACTACTACCACCCCAGGTTTCACTCGCATTTATTTAGTGGTACTTAGCTACGGCATTTATGTAGAACCACCTTTAGACCGAATAATTCTGTCCCATATAACCTCTCTCCTTATATTTTGTGCAGGGTTATTGTGGGACAGAAACGGTGTCGTCTCTATGTTGAACCGGGATCTCTTATGGAAGATCGCATGCAATAATTCATGCGCTTGCCTAATGCGGCCGTACGCCGCTTATCCTTCTCCTGTATTGTGAACCCCCGCGAACAAAACCTCCACCGTTCCCTTTAATACAGGTTTGGTTTTTCCATGCGGGTATAAAAATGATTCCTGAGTGACCTGATTACTTATTTTCACAATTAATTAAAAATAGACGCTGTTCAGAACGCCGCCGCTTCATTTAACTTTGGGCTCACACATTACGCTTCGCCACTGTAAAGTCACATACGAAATCTAGGGCCATCCCAATTTCAGAGCCTAGGTCTTTAGTGCAGGGTCAATAGCTCAGCGCCAACAGATTTCATCCGTTCAGAGAACCCAGTGGCGGCTCACCTCCTTATAGGATAAGACACTGCTTGCAGTTGCCGTTGCATTCGCATATTTCGAATATGTAATGAAGCGAACGCGTATTTACTAAAGTTAAATGTATATTGTCTCTCTGGTTTTGTTTCTCTTGCAATAACCTACTCCTTGTTAATTAGATTGTTTTGTAACGAGAAGTGAATGTTATACACATATCAGCTAGCCGAACGGGTTTTGAAAAAGCCGAATGATCATGTTTAAGGGAACGAGTAGTGCGTCTTTTTCCGCGCGGCCAATAGCGGGGCGGCGGCCCTACAGGCCGCATTAGTTATATGATTTTGCACGCGATCTCGACGAAATTTCAGGATTGAAGCCCCGTTCTTGCTCCCAATAACCGTCACCAAAATATAAAAAAGGTTATATGGGACAGAATTATTTGGTCTAGTAGAAACTAAGACCTACCCAATTCGAGTGAATCAGCCGACATGGCCGTGACACGGCCGTCATCGTTTGAGAAAACGCTTGAGCGTGGCTTATCACCTATGATGCTGTCCGGGGTGTAAAGGTCGAGTCGAGGGACGCGTGCTGCACTAGTTACGCTGTCGGCGACGGTTCCGTATGGTAGCATAGGCTCGTCTCCGCTGACATTCAGCCAGCTATAGCGCTGCACACCATCATCAGGGCTCCTGGTTTTACAACGCTTGTTCCATTTTACTTCATCATGATCGTCAGCATCAGGTGAAGTCATCACCTAGTCGGAAATGAGAATGTCTATCAACAACTAGTTCTACAACGAGTATTACTATTACTAGTATTAGTATTACTATTAGCAAGAGCGTAACTTATATTAAAGCCTATAAAGAAGCCTTCTTTATACGCTCTTGGTGTTACTACTATTAGTAATACTAATAGTACTACTACTACTATAATATTAGTACTACGACTACAAGGAGGTATCGTATAGCTCTAACAAACGTCATCATGTACCGTACAGCGTATCATCACCGGCGATTGATTACGTACATCTCAAAATCGCGTGAATGACATGATGATGATAATCATATTGACTATTACTATTGCTGAGAGGGTCTATGTCCCCCGGGGTACTGCCGGAACGTACCCTGGGTACGGTCCGGTATAATACCGGAACGTACCCTGGTACTATCTAATATGCCGGATCGTACCTCGCCTACTCCACTAACGAGTCTAGGGAGTCGCCTACGCCTACTGCCTAAACCTAACCCTAACCATATCAAATAGTGACCAGGGTACGTTCAGGTATACGTACTCAGGGTACGTTCCGGCAGTACCCTGGGGGACATTACGGTAGTCATTACTAATACTATTAGCATTATTGTATTGAAGTTGTAACGTCGATATTGAATTTGAAGCTGGACTGAATATTTATTTTATACGCATTGTAATTTAATTGCACCAGTCTTTGCACTTACCGTAAGTTGAGTAACTGACAACTGTACTGCACACTTGCATGTTAGACGGAAACACACGCGCTGAACATTTACGGACTGAGACCACTGATCTCTATAATATAATCTATTATATTATATATCTTGCTAAGTCAACGTTGAAACAACGTTGAAATTTTAATGTCGAATGTATGTCGATTATTGTATGTTGAATCAACTTGAAAACAACTTGGATTCAACCACCGCACACTATTTCATATGGACAGTAATGAGGACATAAAATTTTACCAAGATAAAAAAAGTTCAGTTTTAATTTAAAAAAATACATATGCATTCCTGGTACATTGTACAGTGGAACACACATATATTCAGTGTCTATGTTCCTATATACCTGCAGGAATTAATTTTCAATATTACCGCATGGGAAATATTTTATACGATTTCCGGTTGTAAAATCAGAACAAAATAGATACTTAGCTGGAAAAAAGTGTTGAGCGTTTGAATTAAATCACCATTCCGTATTCAAAAATATACACGACAGAAAATGATATTTTTGTGTGCATGCTCACAATTAACAATAGCGTGGAGGAGAAGCCGGTTGGGAGTGGGGTTATAAGGATCCAGGAACTACAACGTTGGTTTATAGTCACGACATTATACGTCGCGTAGCTTAGGCGTACGCGCGTAGCCGTAGCAGCGTTGTAGTAACGTAGTAGCAGCGTAGCTATAGCGCGTAGCCGTACACGCGTAGCCGTATAGCGTACGTATTATACGTCGCGTCGCGTAGTATGAACAACAAATTAAAATAGAGACACAAATTAACTGTTGTATTGCGTTAGTAACGCTGTCGTTAGTGGTTAAAGCTCGATCTCGTGATGTTCCCTTGCCGGTCTCAATAATTCAGTCTAGCAGCAGGCCTATATATATACGCTATGAAACTATGACTTTATTATAAATTTGAAACATGCATATACAACTATATGACTATATATATACCTACACGTGCAATCATTTTCGCTGACTCTGAGTTACTTCTTTTTTCCTCTACGTGACTACATCTTAAGCTGGGTTTACCCTACCAACTTTTTCGTTAGCATGGAATGTTTTGTTTAGGGGTCGTTCACAATTATCAACATTTTCACAAGCGTACAAACCGTACACTTTTTCGAGACCCCCCTTCCCCCCTAAAAGTGTACGAAGAAAAATGTTGATTTTGTTCACACTATTCTACATAGAGACCACTATTGCCCGCCATCGTGCCGGTTGTTTACACAGCACTCGGCTGCTAGCTAGCTAGCTCGGTTCGTTCGTTCAGCCCGTGCGGGGCGCGGGCCGGCCGGGGCTCGGCGCATCGCGGCGTGAGGATCGACATTTTTCGGAAATGCTGAAAGCGTACGGCGGGCATTGACCCCCTCTCCCAGCGTACGGTTTGTACGTAGAAATCTGATTATATGTATGAGATATAATCTGTCATCGCGGACACATATATAATTATGTCTCCACGGTGACAGATTATATCTCATACATATAATATGATTTCTGCAACATATATATATATTCAATAGACAGAAACTATATATATATATATATATCTTAATTTTTTTTTTTTTTCTAATTAGCATAGCAGTGAGGAGAACTATAAAAACACGTACGTCTTACATTGTAGCACTGAGTCCAGTGTATATATAGTCATTTACGCGCGCATTTTGAAGTTTTTATATACGCGCGCTTCTCTCAGCGGGTACACAACGTGCTATATGCCAGGCGCGAATTTATTCACCGTCCTTATACCGATATACACATATATACTGCATGCCCGCTAATTGTTAGTTCAATAGTTAATTAGCTAACGGGGCGGTTTTAAATCGTTTGCTGTCTGTCGCATTAAGCTGGATTTACAGTTTACACTATGAAAAATTGACGAGATAATAAGTTATAAACGTTTAAACATTTGACCCGCAATATTAATGTTCTGGACACCTCGACACACCCCTGAATGCTATTATCGGAGTTGCTGAGTGGCAAAACCTGATCAACTCGCTGACCAAAGCTTGAGAATATAGAAATGTTCTAATGTGGCTCTCTATATATATATACTGTTTGTTTTGCTGCATGTGGTCGGAATGGGACGCGCCTCTATATCACGTACCATCCTCGCCGGAATCTCCTTATATAATGTGCGCTAGCTGCATACGAGAAATGATGTGAGTTTCTTTAGTTTTGGTAGGATTAATTGTTATTGTTTGTGGTCTAGTTGTGATGATATCCCTATTAATATTACATAGAGCGGGGTAATGTAATATATACGATAATTATCTCAATAATTGCACGTACATTATTAACGTTTAGGATGATATCCCGCTGGTGTAGGTTAATTAACCTCATAAATGTTATTCTTCATAAGTCCTGGGGACTATAACGAAGACTGAGAGAGAAGTGGAATCAAATCGTAAAAAATAAAAATAAGTAAAATACGCGAATTATGCGATTTGCTGCCGCTAGAGGACGCGGTACCAGAAAAGTGGCGGTAAATTTGTGCACGTGCACGTCGTGCTGACGCCAGACGCTTGAAGGAAAGTTGCGTTTGCATGCAGCATGGTAAGCAGTTCTATTTTGATTATTTTATGGACAAATACCTATATATATACACATAGTAACAATATTAAGATTTATCATATAGTTATTGAATGTTCGACACCAACCAGGACGAACAAATTACACATATATATATATGCTCGACCGAGTAGGTAAAGACTAAAGTACAGTACAGTACAGTGCGAGAAACACATATATATGCAGCTACTGAGCTAGCCACAATTATGAATTAAGTTACCTAGCTATACTTAATTTAGCTTTTAGCTTTACACTACTTGGAGGTCGTGACGTCTGAACGTTTTAGAAGTGCCATATCTGTTACTGTTATAGCGATCTTATCGCATTAGCAGACTCAAACAAATTTAGTGGAGAATATTTAACAGGGTTTAATTTTAACAGTCGTCCGGTCGTCCGTGACGACTGGATTTTTTCTCGGGCAACTACAAATTCCTTCCGTGGTTGTCTGGTGTCCAATTAAACTCTATAAAATCAATAACCTGAGCTCTAGCTATACCAGTGTTGGCGGTATACGTACAGTATTCAGGTATTTGAAATCTGGTATCCCCCCGAAAGATCTGTTATCCCTTTTTTAGATAGTAATTTCAACAATGTTGGTATCCAAAACTTTGAAATAAGCAATAATCATTATAATGACGGTGTGTGCTTCTTCTCGTTGATCGCTCGCGGGCCACCAGCGAGCGTTCATTTTACATACGGCCAGTGTTGCACAATACGCTGCAAACGTAATGTCTAGACGCATTGTCTGTCTTGCTTCATACAATGTATAACATTTGTCATTTGTCATTCGCCAGCCAGTAATACCATATAGCTGCAATATCGCCAGCCAGATATAGAGATCAGTAGTCCGCAAATGCAGACGTAAACTCCGCTTTGCTAATCTGAGGGTGCGGGTTTATCCATTACTGGGGTCTGCGTCGGCTCGGACTAAGAGATCAGTGGCCTCGATAATGTACATGATTAGGCCTTTTGCTTTACAGCACTGAGCATCACGTGAGCAGAGCGCATGCAGCACATGTTTAAATAATATCCGGACAACCAAAACTCTCGAGGGACAACCATATGCTACTCTCTTGGCTGTCCTCCGGACAACTCCAAACAAATCTTCAAATTGAGCACTGCAGTCAGAATATCACCATGCAGGCATATCAGCTAGCACTGCAGCAGTGCTGCCCAGGGCCGTAGCCTGAGGGGGGCAAGGGTGCAGCTGCCCCCTTAGATTTTGGAGCAAAACAAAAAAATAAGCTTACATTATCTATATAGCTATAGCTATACTAAAAGAGAATTGTCGTAGCCAGAATAAAGGCTGTACATGTACTCAAAAGTGCCTCAAATTCATCTAGCTAGCTGCGATCTACATTTTCACAATTTTCTGGGGGAGGACCTCCAGACCCCCACCTGTTTCTCACCTCGTCACTGAAATCCTGGATCCGCCACTGCCCCCCCCCCTTACGAATTTGCTCAGCCTACGGCCCTGCTGACTATAATATTATTATTAGCCAGACGATGCTGCGCAACTTAATATATAATATACATTATACATATAAAGTGGTACCGATCTTTAAAATTACACACGGGGTGTTACACTGTAGGGTAAAATAAGTGTCTGATTTGCCCTCCTGGGTATATAAGGATTATTTTCATACCAAAATTATTGACTTTGATTTACTTTTAGATCGCTATAATTGTTTGAGGAACGCACAATATTTCAAATAGACCGCAGTTTTACGATCGACCGTCCGCACAGTTTAAGCGATCGGTTTGGAAAATAGCGGCCATGTGGGTTCAAAATTCCTCATATTTAGCCGTCAAGAGATATCAGAGAGTATTTCTGTGAAATATCTTTGAAAACAAATGTATCGTTTGCGAGTAATGATTCGAAGAAGGGAGCGAAGCTTGTTTATACCAGTATGTCTGTCGCCATTTTTTTCCTGACAAGAAACATGGGCGGTAACTCTAACACATCAAGTGCCCCTTTTATGTGATCATCTATATTGTTAACATTTTCTTACAAAATATATAATATTTACATTTTCCCCACCCTTTCAGTTATATTCTGGTGTGTTTGCTTCGTTTGCATCCTTTCTTATTTAAAAATAAGAATAATAAGTTTTAAAATTTGGGAGGCGTACACATGCATCCTACTGTATCAGTGTTTTTCCTGGTTTTTGTGTGAAATTTGTCATGGACATGTAGGATCGTTACTCACAGACGGCGGACGAAATTCATTTTTTCCACTTTCCACCAGTCTCCTACAAATTCATAAAACATTGGTACATTTTATCTCGCGCGGTCCCCAAGTTTTACAACGAACCGGTCTCTTTATAATTACCTTAATTTATATCTAAAAACGCTTTTCATATTGATTGAGGTATCCTCTAGATGTATTTAGTTAATAAATTGATGTAAGTTGATTGATACAATGCACTAACCGCAGTACATTTAGTTGTTTAGAGATGCACCTAGTGGTATATGTTTAATACAGGGCTCGAATTTCCCCAGTTTGAGGACTAATCCGTACGGATTTGTTCCTTCACAAATGAGCAAATCCGCTCAAAATCTAAGTAATCCGTACAGGGTAGGCTAAATTTTACTATGAAAGAAAAAATTGCATGCAGGACAATAATTTATTTTATACTGTTCATTAAACATATTTACATTGCTTATTTCTACAATTATTCATTTTCACGCTGGCATAAATGTAGAAACCTGTCGAGAAATACTTTGTCGAGTTATATTGAATAAATACAAATGTGCATGTATGTTTTGCATACATGTGCATGTAGAACAATTTGTATAGTACAGTTACATGAATATTACAATATACATTTTTGTATTAATTTTCAGGTAGAAAATGGCTGTTTGGGCTAGGGCTGTCTGGCTGGAGGATGATTAGGAGATGGAGGATGTGTTGCCATCCTGTTGGATAAAGGGAAAATTTGTATACTGGCCCAATGACTGAGTCACGAAGGCCATGAAAACACAACAGTTGCCAGAGAATTCATGGTTAATGTTTCCTCTTTTGAAAATTAAAATGTATCTGATATCTGTATACAGATGGTAGAAACCAAACTGTGCTTTCTCTAGAGCATGTTTTCTGTACTTGACAATAATTGTTGACCAGGGTTTTGAAAAAACATTCTATCCAACTTGTCCTGAGTGGCAATTTAATTAAAGAAATCAACTCGCATCTATCATTTCCATTTGCTCTCGGTTAGAATCTTCTCTGGACCATGCAATGTACTCTATGAAAGCATACATGTGTGATTTCTGGTCAGAAGCTTCTACTTCATATTTTTGTTTGAACAGTGAAATCTGATCTTACATTGATGGTGCTTCAAAAACAGAGCCATTTCACAGTTAAAATGGTACCCAAATTATGAGTTCTGTGTGGATGGCAAGAAATTAAAAAAGTAAATTGTCACTTGCCTGACAATGAACTTAGTAGAGACAAGTGGATAAGTGGTTATTTCAAACCCCACAGATACTTCTGGTGCAGTAAAATCAACATTTCTGTTCATTTTGCATTTAAAGTTAACCGACCCTCTACATGTATTTTTAGTCAACGAGATAGTAAACATGTCATGTAATTTTGGGCTCAATAAAACACTTTATACTACATGTACATGTATGCATATATCCAAATGTAGTATATGCTGTTGTATGCTATTGGTGGAAAGTAATAATCATTAAAATGACCACTGCACTCTTGATATTTTGGCTTGTTGTCCAGCTGTGAAGGCAATGGTGACAAGTTTCTGAATACATGTAGAACACCCTAGTTTCATGTTTTATTTATTTTGTATTTAGAGAAGAAAAAGGAGTGTGAAATTTATGATCACACCACAACAGCTGAGCTGAGCAGCTCTGAAGAAGAGTGTGGTACAGATCCTTTGAGAAAGAGAAAGATGAAAAAGAAACTCTATCCAGGTTATCAAATGGGTACGTACATGTAGTATCATTTATACATGTTTTATTACAGTAAGCCTATCCGGAGTATTGAAAGGGCATGCTCAGAACATGTTTTATACTGGCTTTTCGGGTTTTTAGTAGGTGTGTATCTGAATTCTGCATTTGTGTAGTTAGGACTAAGTTTTATTTATTTTTTCATACACTACACTGAATACCACTGCATATACATGTACATACATACATTCTGCTAGTTTTTATTTTTATTTTGTTGTATTCAGGTGATGTATCTTTTAGTGAAGATATAGAAAAGACAAAGCAAGTTTCTGATGGAAAGGTACTGGAAGGTGAGTAATAATTTACAGTAGTAACTGCTCATTCAAATCAAGTAGTTCAGATATTTGCTCATGCACAGTAAATTATGTATAAACGTCTTATGACCTACACTCATTGATGGGTTATCAGAACTAGTCAACTTGAATAAGTGGCTGCCTTATTAAGGTAATGTATAAATAACTTATACAAACAGTATGATTTCTTGAGTGATCTTTTCCTGTCAAGTGCCCGAAATAGCTAGGGATATATTTTTTTTAATATTCTATGAAGGACAATCTCATTACTGTCATATGGAAGCATGTGTTCCGGTAGTCTTATTAATTAGTCAAGCTATGAAAGAAAAGACCAACACCAGTGTAAAATATAATATCCAGGGCTGAGGATTTGGATCAGTTTGATGCTAAATGCCTCGGTCAAATTTGTTTGATTACTTGATATATAAATGTTAAGAATTGGGTTTGGTATTTTATGTATAATATTAAATATGCAGAAAAAATAATTGATCCTCCACTAGTTTAACAATAAAACTAGAATGTGAATTTCAAAAGTGATCACCCATTGCATATATTGAAGAATGCATCACATTAATGCATTACTCTACATGAGAAATCATACGTACAATATTTGCTTTTTAACAGAAGAGGTATCCCTTCCATGTGTTCCAACAAAAGTTAATGCAGCGCCAGAACAGATAAGAGGGGAGAGTAAAAGAATAGAGGACAGGAGTAGTGTGGGTGTTAGCAGGGAGACCGCACCTATTGGTAGATGTAGTTCAGGAAGCAGGGACTGGTCCAAATCTAGGAGTGTAGATAGGTATACACTTCGTGGTAGTTCGGGACACCAGGACCGGTCAAAATCTAGAAGTGTAGAAGATAGATTTCCAGTGCTTAGCTCAGGGTGGAGGGACATGTCAAAGTCTAGGAGTATAGGAAGGGATAGAGTGCATAGTGGTGGTTCAGGGCGCAGGGACAGGTCAAAGTCTAGGAGTATAGGAAAAGATAGAGTGCATAGTGGTGGTTCAGTGCGGAGGGACAGGTCAAAGTCTAGGAGTATAGGAAGGGATATAGTGCATAGTGGTCGTTCAGGGCGGAGGGACAGGTCAAAGTCTAGGAGTATAGGAAGAGATAGCTAGAGTGCATAGTGGTGGTTCAGGGCGGAGGGACAGGTCAAAGTCTAGGAGTATAGGAAGGGTTTGAATAGACGTTGTACATTTCAACGTTGAATAGACGTTGTATTTTGGTGGGTAAAGACGCAACCTAATTTCAACCAATATATAACGTTGAAACAACGTCAGTTTCAACGTTGAATAGACGTTCTACATTTCGACGTTGAATCAACGTCGTATTCTCGTTGATCGACGTCATGACGTAGTTTCAACCAAGATTCAACGTTGAAACAACGTCGTGTGCCCACTGGGATAGGAAGATTGGGCACATTGGGCGTATAATTATCACGTGTTCAACACGACAATAGACATTTTTCTTATCACACCACTCGTAAATATGCCCAATACATGCGAGACAGGGGCTGTTTATATATAAAAAATATATGAAATAATAACATATATAATAGAATAGAGGTTATACATAAACTGTTACCTGCAACACTAGCTAGGTGATCGTCTGCTACCTCCAGTAGCAACTCATCGTGAATCTGCACAAGCATCGAGGCACGGAGCTCTGGTCTGTCACACAGCGCCTTCTCTACTGCTATCATGGCCGTCTTGCAGATATCAGCTGCTGAGCCTATGTGCAAGTTTGAGTAACGGCAGCATGGTATGTACAATGCTGCAACTGTGACCACATGTGGTATAGACAATGCTACAGCTGTGGAAGCATTATCTTGATGATGCTACATTTGAGAGAGCATGGTATGTACACTGCTACATTTGATGGTGCATGGTATGGACAATGTTACAGTTGAGGTAGCATATATGGTCTTGAGAATGCTGATAGCCAGGAATTTTATGCCGTATATGGTGTAAACAACACAAAAGTGACTGTGAAACTATAATTAAAACAGAAAGAGCAATCTCTCATTATAAATCCCATCTCTACCTTGAACAGCAAAGTTCATAGCTTGTCTCTCGGCCTGCAGTCTCTGCAAGTAATTGTTGGATCTAATGTGACGTATTATGCGCCTTCTGTTGAAGATGGTTGTTACATATCCGTGTAACCTGCACTGCTTCACACACTTCTGAGTGAATTGGCCAACACCTCTGAACTTTCCTACATCGAATTGAATGATACCATATAACACTAGCCACGTATAGCCTGGAATATATAGTCACCAAAAATTACCACCAAATGTACGTATACATAGTTTAGTAGCAAAAGACTTAATCTTCCTTTACCTAAAAAGCTGTTTGTGATTGCCTTGGCCTCTTCCACGCCCATGTTCAGGTAGCCGGCCAGCCTGTCTTTCCCAATTCCGTACATGACAGAGTAGACAACACGTTTTGTTCTTTCCCTATCACTGTAGGTCACCTGGCTCTCTGGGGTCCCAAGCCTATACATGACCACACAGTCAGGATAAGGACTGGCATCCTACACACTCTCCATGTGATGCCTAGCTGGCACCACCCCTCTCCGTGTAAGGGTTACCACCCACACCCCTCCGCGTGTAAGGCCTGGCACCACCCCTCTCCATGCAAGGCTTGGCACCAGCTCTCCTCCCCTCCAGGCTTGGCACCACCCCTCTCCATGTAAGGCCTGGCACCAGCTCTCCTCCCCTCCAGGCCTAGCTGGCACCACCCCTCTCTATGCCAGGCCTGGCACCACCCCTCTCCATGCCAGGCCTGGCACCACTCATCTCCATGCAAGGCCTGGCACCACCCCTCTCCATGCCAGGCCTGGCACCACTCATCTCCATGCAAGGCCTGGCACCACCCTTCTCCGTGCGAGGCATGGCACCACTCATCTCCATGCAAGGCTTGGCACCACCCTTCTCTATGCCAGGCCTGGCACCACCCCTCTCCATGCCAGGCCTGGCACCACTCATCTCCATGCAAGGCATGGCACCACTCATCTCCATGCAAGGCTTGGCACCACCCTTCTCGGTGCAAGGCCTGGCACCACCCCTCTCCATGCCAGGCCTGGCACCACTCCTCTTCATGCCAGGCCTGGCACCACCCCTCTTCATGCAAGGCCTGCCACCACCCCTCTCCATGCCAGGCCTGGCACCACCCCTCTCCATGCAAGGCCTGCATGGCACCATCTCTCCTCCCCTTGCCATGCCTAGCACCACCTCTCCTCCTCATGTCAGGTCTGGCACCTCTCTTTCTCATGTCAGACCTGGCATCTCTCCTCCCCATGTCAGGCCTGCACCTCACCCCACCCCCAGTCACGTAAAGGCTGCCACCACCTCTCCACCTCGTGCAAGGCCACCCCTCCTACTGTAGCACTCGATCATTACCATCCCCCCATATAAAGTGGCACCCACTGCTCCTGTATCACTATAGAATCGCACCATTGTGATGTTAGCTGGATGAAGATATCCTGGTTGAATTTTGATGAGTCAAACAAACCCAGCAAGACAGGATCAGCACACAGATGGGCCAGCAATCGTAACTCCACCTGCTGAAAATCTGCAAAAGAGCAAATGGCAGGCCTATATTATCATTGACACTTATAACTAAAAACTATAGTGGTGCCTATACGCATGCCAACACTCGTCACACTGCTTAATCTATACACGTGATATAGACGTGATGTCATATAAGTGATGTATGACCATAGTCCTAAATATGGCTGTCATGGAAGCTGTATGCATTTGTGAATATATATAACTTGATAAAGGTGTAACGGACGGCGCCTATATATAGCAAGAGATGAGAGCATATATTGTACGACATCGTATTAATGTGGATGGAAACCTGCAGCAAGGAAGGAGTAGCCTTCGTGGCTGACGAACGCGTCTCTGGCCATCATCGTCACCTCTCGTGAGGCATCACATCCTTGGCCAGGATTCGTGAATACGAGCGGTTCCTTCGGCACAGACTGGATGTTGGGATTGGCAGATGTCAATCTCCCAGTGGCTGCTGATGTATGCTCCCAGTTAGTGTGCAGGTAGCCTGAAAGAGCAATAAAGCACCGGAATATAGTGCTTAGTATCTTCGCACTATTATAACTAAACTATAGCTTATACATAAATAAGTTAATTGTTTGTACAAACTTTGTTGCTTCAGGGAGAATCACGTTATTTTTAGATAACCAGAGAAAAAATAGTTACAGCTATAGATCCAACAGGACAGAGGAAGTCACAATTAAGTGTCAACGAAACCAAAACGTGACATCTACGATTTTATACTTTTTAAAATTTCGATAGATTCCTTGATGCATATCCATAATGGGTTAGACCTTCAGTGACAAAGAAAAGCTGCTAAGAGTACACCACATTAATATTTATTTCCACTGTTATCCACAATGATTAGAAACAAGAAATATGCAAGCAACCATCTTTGACATGTGTCAGTAGGCCGTCGACGTATGTGGACTTCATCTTGCTTAGGCGTCGATGCTCCAGCACTAATCGTGGTAATGGGTGGAGATCAGCAAGCTGCTGCAACTGCACGCAACACACACTATATTAAGCAATAAACTTGTAGCAATAAGGTGAAAAATCATGAGCATATGTAACAACGCAAGCATGTATTAATAAATTTTGAGAATATTGCCGAAGTAAGCACAAAATGACAGAGGTAGGTCATATAATACTGTTATTTAACAACAATCATCCAAAGCTGTGCAATGACAAAGAAACTTTAAATGCTCTACGCTTTACAAATGGGTTCACTGAAAACTGGGAACATTGCAACCAGGTTGTCTGGCAGAATTCTGGGGCAGTATGTAGGGCCTAATTGAGGAAAGTGTCCAATGAATGATGAACGTAATATACTAGTATTTATAACTTCACATTTTTGACATGGGTTAGTGTTGGCATTGTGATTACAACAGCAGTACCACAGACTCAGATGTAGACTTCAGGTTTCCCACTGCTGTCATCTTCAAAGCTTTCTTTGTAATGAGCTGTTCATCCAACTTTAGCTCATCAAATATAACCTGCAAGAAAAAATCGAGTCTATGAAATATATGTGTGCTTTGTGTGCATGCTAGTGTGTGTATGTCCATGTATAGAGATATATACTTAGTAAAATGGATAGGGAGAGAAATGAGGATAGAGAGAGAGAGAAAGATAGAGAAGAAAGATATAAATAGTGTGTGAGCAATGTGGAAGGGATATGGAATGCAGATTAGATAACAAGAAGGGTAGAACGAGAAAAATAATTTATTTGTAGTGATCGAGCAAGAAACATCATTTACTTACCTGCCTCAGTTGAACGTGACTACTGATCAAGAAACTGTGCCCTGCTGCGCTATGAACTGCCTTCTCCACGTCAGATATTCCTCGTTGGAGAGTCGCAGATGCTATGGACAGGTGATTAGTGTCCATCTTTATTCCCCTATTGAAAGCAATTTTGTGGTATGTTGCATGCGATGAGGATATAACACAATAATCAAGACATTTTACTCAAAACATTGAATAGAGAGTTTTCTCTGTCATTATATATTATTTTCGTCTGGGATGTGCAAATACCATAGGTATTAGTGTGATCTTGTATAATGCAGCATTTGCATAACATATACTGCATCCCATTACCATAATATAACCTCAAGTATACAAAATATAGGATTGATATATGATATTTTGAATAAAACGTTCACATAGGCTATGCCACGTCTCTGATGTTTTATACAGGTCGTTATCTTCAAACATACATAGGAAGCTTGCTACTTTCACCTGCGATCCATGATGGCTAGAATAGGGCAAAGCTTCATTTCCACAAGGGTAAATAGATCCCAGAGACTCTGTTGCTTCAGCTTTTCAGACAAAACTTTGACGACCTGCGTGAGTGCAATCATATCCTGTTTTAACAACTCATCTGACGACATCATGTCAAACCTGCAAGCAAAGCAGCCAGAATATTTTTCATTAATATGTTTGCACGTACGTGTAATTACAAGAAGATAAATAAATAAATAAATAAATAAATATATATATATATATATGCCTTATCATATCACCTTGTGGCTTTATATGCTAGTAGTTTGTTGCCTTACTTGCTCATTTTTACTCCTAGCACCTCAGCTGTAGCTGAGAAAGTTTCCTGTGGTTCATCAGGGTCTAGCAGCCACGCTCCTGAAATGTGTCAATAACTGATGTGTAGGTGAGCTGAGTGTAATTAAACAAGCAGAGAGGTACTTCAAGCAGAAGAATTCTCTTGTTGCACGTGCAGTTGTCAAGCGTTTTGACGTAATCTAACTGCATTAACGCATATAAACCCCCATTGCTGGCATGATGCCAGGAAAATTTTCCGAAAAATTCAAGGTATAGCTTTCTTCTGATTTTTGTGAAAGATGCTTGCATGCTATACCTATTCGTGGGTCGTAAACAGACCACTTTAGAACAGCTTGTCTCTGGTCACAGCCAAGCTCTGTGATCACTGTATACATCAGCTCCTGTGCATCAAAGCACAGCTTGGTTGAAGCAGCGGCCATCAGTGTGGACACACACTGTCTGTGCCAGAGGAAAAGTCAAAAATTACTCATCTTTCAAGCTGTGGAATTACATATATCAAAATGGAAAAAAATATAGTTTATAATAGAGTACATAGGAATTGCAGCTTGAAAGTTATATCCATTGTAACCAAATTCCACTACACAATAGATAAATATACTTTGCCCATTTTTTCATCTGCATATCTCTGTTCTGCAAGGGTATTGTGTAGAATCTTGTTTCTTTGTCCAGTGAAAAAGGCATTTCCTCATTTCTTTTAAAAGTGATGGAGAAGGCCAATCTAACAGGCTTCATGGCAGCAAGGAGAGTTCGCCCGACAGAAAAATCCACTTAATACGTTATGTTACACGTAACATAGAAGAGTTAACCATAGAGTTAACCATAGAGAGTTAACCAGCTGTACTACGACTATTTCAAGCTGTTGTCTAAAAAATCATTGACTGCAAGCTCATTCAAAATTTGCGCAGAAGTCTGCAATGAACTTAGATGCTTAACAGAATACATATTTCCCAAATATAACAATTGTTTGACCTCTTCACTCTTTACTTATATTTCTCTAATTTTATATTTTCTCGCTTGGAAAGAAAAAATCTATATAATATGACGGCAATACTTTTTCGTCTCCAACACCAATCTTCTCCCGGAGCTGGGATGAGCCATCATGGTAAAGGAGTGTCAGTATTATTTCTGCAGCCCCAGCTATCTCTTCCAGCATTTTTTCCTGTTGGTGAGTGCTCATGATAGCTGCATTCACAAAGCCAATGCTACCTTTAGAAACTGGTGTGGTAGGCGTCTGTAAAGCAGAGATAATCTGTGACTCAACACCAAACGCAAACATCACCATAGTATATAGACTATATGGTTAAAAATTTTGTGGTTTATCTATCTATAGCAAAATCACTGCTAGACCTTGTCACAGTAACATGGTATACAGTTTAGGGGCAGTTTTGGGATTTTTAGACCAGTTCGAATTCGAATAGCACATTTTTAGAGAGCCAGTTTTACTACTACAGTTTTTACATGATCTAATAATCCTGCCCGAGTAAAGGGGAACTCACGTTCTCATTAAGTGTTCTTTCCCCCTTCCTATAGCCCCCTTCATCAGATCTCCCTGAATCTAACCCTAAGGTTGGTTATACTTATATCATCATTACGTTTTACTAACATACATACATGTCTTCTATACATGCCTGATTAGGCCTAGATGATCCTGATTAAAACTGTGTGAAAATTTAAAATTATGTGCGTTAAATATGTTGAATTTTATGTAGTATGTACAATATTAAACGTGAATTTCAGCTGTCATCATATCAGGAGTTAATGAGACAAACTCCTTTCTCTCATTAACTCTTGATCATATATGTGTAACCTTGAATTTCGCAGTGGCAGTATCATCTCGACTGCAGCTGCCAGCAGACTTTGGTGTTGGTAATTTGAAGGGAGTCCGAAACCCTTTTGCAGTGAAAGAAGTCACTGCAACTTTTTTGCATACTGCTGCTTGGTTCTGATCACTTTTTTGGCTCTGAAACAATCTGACACAATAATGCATTATAAACGCGTTTCAGCTTCACTGCTCATGCATGAACCACATTATACTGCAGTGGAAGAAAGGGCTGATGTATTTTTCTAAATCGTGATATACTATCATTTATTAATTTATCATACATTATTTTTTGCAAAATATGTGCTGTTAGTTTGCAATACCAAAAGTGTGTGGCTGGTTGATGCATGACTCACACACTTGAACTCGTAATGTCACCAAACTGTGACCAACCTCACTATCCTTACCTTGCCTCATGTAGCTTTCTAACTTTGTTTGCAATCATGGATACACAGGAAGGCCTGCCCAACAAATCCACCTGAGATGAAATAAGGGCATGCTCTTCCATCACAGCAGGTTTATCTATGCAAACTTTGTCACTATGCGGCCGTCTACGAGGGGCCCTCCTGTCGATCTGATCTTTAAACTCTTGCTCAAATGATTGCACACCACCTGAATGCATGGCAGAAAATCTAGAGGACATTGGTGGTGATATTTCTAGATTGTTGCTGTTCTCACTGTTCTGCTGAGCAATCTCTATCATTGCTGTACTCTGCGCAACAGAGGGGGCTTCTGGCATAGGCATAGATAGCAAGCCATCAGGTTGGTCCTGAGTTAAAGCACATACTTCACCGGTTTCACTCGTCTCTCCACATTCGGAATCTAACTGTACACTATCATTAATTTCAGAAGATGTCATCTGAAATGGTAAATGTGTCTGGAAGGTATTAGCTTCCTGAATGTTCACATTTGTTCCCAGGTTAACATAACTGCACTGAGAACCCGATCCATAGTTTTGTCCTTCGTCTATTTGATTAACATGAATGAGATTAATGCAAGTATTGGTTTTCCCCTTATCTATGGGAACTGACTTAGCTGTTTGGATTGGGGTTACATCGTTACACATAAATTTATGTGTTTCAGAACCTAGAAGAGAGCCTCTGCCATTAACAGAGCTTGGTGTGTTGATTGAATTCCCGAAACTCTGCCAGTAGACGTTTTGGTAGTAACATCCTCTTGCAACAGTCTGCCTTGGACGAGAGTTTACTGGATCTGTAGCCATAACTTTACCACAATGACGTTCTGTTTGTATTTGTTCATGTTTAGAAACAATAAATTTCCACACTTGCTGTGCATCTGTAGATAGGTGGTTGAAACCATAATCGTTTCTATCAAATGTTATGACATTGCTCTGGTTCATCTTGCCTCTCTCTTTCTCTCTCTCTCTCACTCTGCTCAGTGTTGTCCGACCTGTGACTGTTAACAGATAATGTAATTTATAAATCACGAAATAGCCTCTAGATATAATAAACGAATACTAATCCTACTTGTAATATGCGAGTCGGTCAGACAATTTCAGTGTGATTCTAGTTTAAGAAAATATCAGACTCAGTAGGCCTATATTATAATAAGCTACAGGTCCGTAGCCAGAGGGGGTTCGGGGGGTTCAAACGAACCCCCCCCAAACAAAATTTTTTTTTTTAATTTGCAAGAATTTCACCTCAGGTCGCTCCATTTTTTTGTAATAATTGCAAAATCTCCATCGTGCGGGAGGGTGAACAGTGAACACCCCCCTCCCACACCCTCCCCCCCGCTCGGTCGCTTTGCGCCCGAGCAGGGGCGTGTACAGGGGGGGGGCGGGTCCATGGAGTCCGGACACCCCCTTGCTCGCGCATAAAACGCAT